CTGTGGGGCAGTTCCACTCTGTCCTCTAGGGGCGCTGTGGGTCAGAATGGACTCCACGGCAGTGGGTGTGGTTTGGGCTTTGCTCCCATAAAGACTGACAGCCTTGGAGACCCTGTGGGGCAGTTTCACTCTGTCCTCTAGGGGCGCTGTGGGTCAGAATGGACTCCACGGCAGTGGGTGTGGTCTGGGCTTTGCTTCTGTAAAGACTGATAGCCTTGGAATTCATAGGGAACAGTTCTGTGTAGAGTGTCTCTGTGAGACGGAATTGAGTTGATGGCAGTGGCTTTGGTTTCTTTTGGTTTTTTATCTCAAATGGCTGTTTTCACACGGGCCATGTCATTATTTGATTTTTTTTTTTTTTTTTTTTTTTGTGCGTGTGTTTGTGTAGATGGTTGTGAAAACGTTCATGGACATGGACCAGGACTCTGAAGAAGAAAAGGAGCTTTACCTGAACCTGGCTCTCCATCTGGCTTCAGACTTTTTCCTCAAGCATCCTGACAAAGACGTTCGCCTCCTTGTGGCTTGCTGCCTCGCCGACATCTTCAGGATCTATGCCCCCGAGGCTCCCTACACGTCCCCCGATAAACTGAAGGCAAGTACAGGCTAACCCCCAGGCCCGGCTGCTGCCGTGGGGCCGTCTGCTGCGTGGGAGGTTAAAGGGCCGCGATGATGTCTTGGAGTCCGTGTCATCAGCCACAGCAGTCTTCTGTTAAACAGCTTCTGTTTATTTAGCACTTACTGTTTTTCTTTTGATTGTGATTTGGGTGAAAGTTGGCAGAGCAAATTGGTTTCCATTCAGCAGTTCATACTCATGTTATTGTGTGACATTGACCGGGACCCCACAATGTTAGCAACACTCCACCCACTTCTTCTGTGCGTCCCATTTCCCTGAGTCCTTCTTTTCCGGCCCTTCTTGCCATCTGAGCTCTGTCCCTGGGCAAGTGCTGTGCTTTCCATCTCGTCTGGTTACTGTCCTGCAGAGTGCATCCCTCCCTGGTGTCCTGTTCACCTTATAGGTATGTCTGTCGTTTGGCTGAAAATTCACCCAGGGCGGTGAGTTCAGATCCCAGCTTTTGATGGGTGTCTAAGGGTCGTAGTCTTGGGGGTTCCACCAGTCTCTGTCAGCCCAGTAAGCCTGGGCTTTTTCATGATCTTGAGTTTTGTTCTACATTGTTCCCCGCTCTATCCAGGATCTCCTGCACTGATCCCTTTCCTAGCGGTTGACAGTGGAGCCAGGGACCATCTAGTTTTTCTGGTCTCAGGGTCGTAGAGGCTGGAGTTCACCCAGAGCTTAATTTTGAAAAGTGATTTCTGACCCTGCGCATAAGAAGTAGATTGTTCCTGTTGTTAGGTGCCGCCCAGTCGTAGCGATCCTGTGTACAAGAGAACAAGACACTCAGAAAACTAACACGTGGATCACTACAGTGTATTCTGTAGTTGTGAAGTTGTCCCCTTTAGCTCTGTTTTCTTCAATATTACTTGGAAAGCAATTCCTTTTTCCTTCTGAAAATTCACGTTGAAGACCACTTTCACTATTTAAGGGTAGGTGACTAGCACAGAGGGTTGCTGTGAGTCACAGCCGACCCCAGGCCAGTGAGTAACCAGGTGGAAACCTGTGTTTCTAGTGAATGAATCCTCACTCCTTTCATGGAAGGGCTGATAGGGATTGTTTTGAAGAGAATGCAATGAACAAAATTTTATGGAAAAATACTTGGTAATGGTGGTTGTAAGTAAAGCCACCTGAACACAAAACTTGTAAAAGATGAAGAAAGAAGGGGACTAGGGTAATTCATTGATGTGGAAAAATGCTGGTGCTTGCATGAAATAATGGCAGCTGTGCAGAAGGGTACTGAGTGATTGGAAGATGGTTAGGGAGGAAATTAACACAGTGGCCAATGCACTTTTGGCAACTGGAGGTTGGAGAAGGGTCCACGGGGAGAGGTTACCTCACGGGGGAGACATGAAAGCAAGGCACAACAATTAGGTTTATTTTGTGTAACAGGTGTTGATGTGAGTTGTGCGCCAGGCACTGGGCTTCCTGGGTGAAGAAAGCAGGTGTGTTGCTGGACTCACGCCCTTGCTTCTCGATCCTACTCGTTTGTGGACCACAGTTCTGTGGAGAAGGCCCCACTTGCTCTGGTCTGCTTGTTCTCCAGTTTTGACTGGTGAAGGGAGTTCAGGATGAGGGCAGTGGGTGGTGTTTGTCATGTGAAAGGGAAATGGAATTGGAAGGTTTGAGCATGGCCAGAGAATTCAAAGGAGATGACATGAGCTGGCCCATACAGTGGGCACCCATGTGTCCACTTAATTTCTAATTGTGAACTTACACTCTATGGCTCCTTAGTTGGTTAAGGAGTGATTGTGCTTGGTTGATGGTGCGCTGTGGCTCCTCCCCCTTTCCAGGTGTGGTGCTGGCTCCTCCCCTTTCCAGGTGTGGTGCAGGCTCCTCCCCTTTCCTGGTGTGGTGCTGGCTCCTCCCCTTTCCAGGTGTGGTGCA